ATTGTGTATTTGTATGAAATTCACACTTAACATTTTGAAAGTAATACTTTCGACATTAAAAAGAAGCCAGGGCAGAGGGGCAGGGAGCGGGGAGCCCTGCAGAGGGCCAAGGATGAGAGTCACAGGGGCCTTCTCACATGAAGCTGTGCGAAGGAGAGGAGAGTGGCTCGGTTTAAGAAAATAATCCCATTTACAGTCTCAAAAAAAAATGAGTAAGTAATGCTGCAGCAAACCTGTGAGTGTAGGTGTCACTTCAGCATATTGGTTTGGGCATTGATTTTCTCTGGCATTTCGGTTTGGGTGGTCCATACTGACCTATCTTCAAGCCCACCCATTTTCCCTTCAGCTTTGTGCAGTTTATTGATGAGCCCATCAAAGACATTGTACATTTCTTTCCCAGTGGTTTTCATTTCTGTTATTTTCTTTTGATTTTTTTTGGTGGGGAGTTTCTAATTCTCTACATATATTACCCACCTGTTCTTGCATATTGTTTACTTTTTCCACTAGAGCCCTTAACATATTAATCATAGTTATTGTAAGTTCCCTGGCTCGTAGTTTCAACATCTGTGTCAGAGATCTCAGTTTTATTCTGATGACATTTAGATTCACTGAGCTCCTTGAATCTGTAAATTATCTAACCATCTGTCCATCCACCCATCTATCCCTCTATCCACCCATCTGTCCATCTATCATCTGTCCGTCCATCCATCCAACCATCCATCCATCCATCCACCCACCCACCCACCTATCCATCCATCCATCTATCCATCTGTCTATCTATCTATCTATCTATCTATCTATCTATCTGTCTGTCTGTCTATCTTTCTACTATCTTTTTTGCCCATTCTCTTTCCCTTACCTGGAGAAGGTTCCTCTTCCCACACCTTGAGCATCATGTATCATGCTGTCCTTTTGTTAAATATAAGAATGAGCTGCTTCCTCAGTGATACAGAGTGGGCATATTATGTTATTTACTAGCAGTGATGTTGGCTTTTCTCCATCTCATTTGCCTTCTTTATTAGAAAATAAATTGGCAAGTCCCTGGCCACAAGTGGTGGTCCTCCTACTGAGGTGTAGAGCTAAGCTTACAGGTAACTCAGAGTGTGCCTCTAACAGTGGCTACTAGCTTTATGTGGATTTTAAAATGGCAGTTAACTGAAGTTAAAACATAAAGTGTACAGTATCACATTTCCACCTTTGGCTAGTGGCTGCTGTACTGGACAACACTGGTGCGGAAGAATTTTGTCACTGCAGATGGTCCCATTGGACAGACTGCCTTAGAGGTTATGACCTTCAAGTTATGACCTTGAGACCAGTACCTGAACCACTTCTGTTGTATAAGACTGACATGGCCAAGTACATACAAATAAACATAAGCAATAGATGGGGAACGAAGTCCAGCCAAAAATAAAACCCAGTTGCTCTCAGACTTTGTTGCTTCCACTCTCAGTAACATCTGTTTCTTTCTCTCTGTTTCTCTTCTGACTGCATCACATCAAGCTTCCCATCCTTATCTAGGAAATTGAATCGCTCCTCCCCTGCGTGTGCTCAGGGAAAGCGCATATTGTTCACTTTTGGGTGGTGTCTGCCTGGAGCTCAGTGCAGGGCTCTTTGGAGCCTACAGCACTAGCAGGTCAGAGTGGGTCCCCTCTGATGACACGGGGTCCCCCCTAATGACACGGGCTCCCCAGCCACTTGGAGGTTTTGCACAGGACAGACTTACTCTTCTAGACACTGATGAGATTCCCGCCTGTGACCTGAAATAAACTGTCCGAGCTGGGTTCCTGGGCCGTGGTGTTCTGTATGTCCAGAGTTGTGTGCTAGGCTGAAGTGGGGCTGATGGATGTCCATGTGTTTGAGTCTCAGCATTGAGACAGGTTATGAGGGCCCCCTTGTTTCTACCCTGGGCTGCTGCACTGCAGGAGTCTCTGGTGCTTGAAGGCAGGAAAAGAGAACCCCGGGGCAGCCGGGGGAAGATGGTAGGCCACTGGCTTCTTCCCTAGGCTATGAGATTGTGGTGCTCAGGTGTGGGCAGCGCCACTGGCCTGAGCACGTGCCTGTCTGCCCTCGAGCAGCCCACCTGGCCCACTCAGGCTGGCATGGTACTGCTCATCCAGAGTTCTGGGTTTCAAGCCTCAGTGCTCCACCCTTTTCTAGAGAATTGTGTGTTCAGCAGCTTGAGCCAGACTTCTGCCTGGGGCTTCTCTTCTGGCCAACAGCCCAGCATCTAAGTGTTTTGGTAGTGAGGGTCAGGAAAATGAGAAAGAGCCGGACGTGGTGGCACACACCTGTAATCCCAGCCCTCGAGAGGCTGAGGCAGGAGGGTCGTTGCGAGTTCGAGGCCAGCCTGGGCAGCAAACTGAGCTCAAGGCCAGCCTGAACTGTATAGCGAGACCCTATCTCAGAAAGACAAAAAAAAAAAGGAAGGAAGAAAATGAGAAGGAAAATGTTTTAAGGATCAGGTTGGAGATGGAAAGCAGCATTGCTCAGCATGGGTTGTAGAGGACAGCACTGATAGCTGGCCCAGTGCCTACTGCCTGCGGGGTCTGTGCAGTGTGGGACGCCATTGTTCAGGGCACCAGCGCTGGCACCAGGGTTGGGGACACCCCTAGCAGCAGGGCAGATTCTCACTTAGGAGGGAGGCTCGTCTCTTTACCAGCTCCCTCTGCCTGGGTGGTCTACCTTAAACTTGGAGAACCCTTGGGCCACAACCTCTCAGGATCCGATGCTGTGTTTGTTTATTTAGGGTACCGGGAATCGAACTCATGACCTCAGGCTTGCCAGGCAAGCGCTTGTGCCACTGAGCTATATCCCCAGCCCCTCTGTGTTTATTTAGTAGGGAATTGGGCATCCTAAATCACCCTTCTCATGTAAAATTTCTTTTGAAAGCTATTTTTTAATTATAGAATTAGTACTCACCTATAGGAAATTTCAGAAATGCCAAAATACTAAGAAAAGAAGATAAATATGATTGGCTGTCCGTCATTCTCAGTCATCATTGTCAACATACTGCTTTTGTAACATTTTTTCTAAACAGATAATTCTGTGTCTCTTCAGCTAATTTTACATAGTTTAGGACATACTGTACATATGTCACCTTTTTCATTTAACAGAATAGCATGAATATTTTTTAAAGTAATTTCTTCTAAACTTTATAATTTCCATCTGTACATCAGACATTTGAAACAAATTCGTTATCCCAAAGCATTAAGAATGTAGAGCACTGTAGAATATATGATGGAAATAAATGTAAAAGATAGAAAAATATATTAAACAAGGATTGTAAAGCTCATCTTACATTTAGAAATGAAGATTTTTAAAAATGTATGTATGTATTTATTTATTTACTATGTGTGTCTTTTTGAGACAGGGTCAGGCTGGCCTTGAGTCCACTTTGTAGCCCAGGCCGGCCTTGAACTTGCAGTGATCCTCCTGCCTCAGTCTCCTGAGTGCTGGAATTAGAGTGTTGTACTACCACTGTGCCACTATGATAGGTTCCCCAAGGCCAATGTGGGAGAAAAATTCAGAGTTTGATTTGTTGGTTTTGTAGGTGGGCAGAGGCATTCATTGGTCCCAAGTTCTTAGGTTTGAGCCAACATCTCCTGTTCAGTATAGGAGCAAGTGGGATGTTTCCCTTGGCAGAAAACTGGAATGTGTCCCCGACGTGACACTGTCTGCTGTCCACCCGCAGGTGTCTCAGATGCCTCTTGGGAAGGTGTGCAGGGCTGAGGAGGGATGTTTTGGAGGTCTGGTGGGAGGAGCAGTCAGCCCCTTAAATGGTCGCAGGGACTGGGTGCGGCTGCAGCTGGCCTTCCCTGCGTGAGCAGGGGCCTTGATACCATTCTGGGCACAGAAGTGGCACTGTGCACGGCCAGTGTTGCAGTATCAGCATGCTCACGGGAGTGGCATCACGTGGGGGCCCTGCCGCCATCAGAATCTTTGGCATTGACTAAAGCCTGTCCAGGTCGGGTGTGAATGTGAGGAGACAGAGCTGCTCTTTTGAGCCTTGGGAATTCATGTGACTCCTGGATGGATGGCAGTCACCCACATCCCACATCGTGGCACTATCAGCTGGTTTTTGTTGTAGCCTCAAAATTATAAAGGGAAACAGGAGACACTTGAACATTTTATACCAAGAAGCAACCATCCTCTGAGTAGATTAAAAAATCTCAAGAACAAGCATTTAGTTTAGTCTCTGTCCCTGTGCTTTCCTTAGTGCCCCCTTAACAGGCTTTGAGAATGAAGCTTTATATCGAGTTTTCAAGGATTTTTTCCCATACATCTCAGTCATCTAACTTTGAGCATAAAGTTGATACAACGTTTATTGTTTTAATGTCTATAAGATCTATACTGATGTTGCCTTTTTAATTTTTCATATCAATAATTTGCATCTTCTCTTTTTCTTGGTAAGTCTGGCAAGAGATTTATTAATTTTATTGATCTTTTCCTTTCTCGTTCCCTTTTCTGTTTGAAATTTTATTGTTTTCTGCTTGTACATTTATTTCCTTTCTTCTTATTTGGAGGTTTAGCTTGCTTTTTATTCTTTTAGTTTTTTAAATGTGAAAACCCATTATTTGACAGCTTTTCTCTTTTCTAATAGAAGCACAAAATGCTACAGATGTCCTCAAATACTGCCTTAAGTGAATACCAGAAATTTAATATGTTGTATTTTCATTTACTTCAAAATGTTTTCTGATTTGTCCTGTGAGTTCTCTCTGACGCAAAGGTCATGTGGAAATGTTTTCAGATACTTTGGTGTCTTTTTGAGCCCCAAGTATGGAGTGGAATGAATTGGAGACTCTAGTGAGCAGGTGCTGGGGGTTGTACATGGCAGCATGGCAGATTTTGCATAATGAAGTGAAATGTGGTCAGCAGGTGTCCTTGTGTGAGCCTGAGAAGATACCTTCGGCTGTTTTTTAAATGCTTATACCCTCTGTGAATAGGATCTGATGGAAGATTTTGGAATGCTTCTTAGTAATATCTCTTTTTGTTGCTTCTAGTGCATTGCCATTGGGCAGAACTGGATCCCAAAAAACTCAAGAAGCTGAGCACCTACGCTGCTTTAAGGATTTGGGACTGGAACATGAGAAGACAGAAGTTAGAACCTGTGATCCCGAGTGGCCCTGAGGAAGCACGAAGGACCCTGCATTTCCCACAGCTGCTGTAATCAGATGGGCCAGAGGTTGCTCCAGGTGTGGCATGTGTTGGGGGCTCCCCCAGCTCCCCACAGAAGGCTTCCCTGGTTTGCAGTGTGTCTTGGCTTGCTTGTGGAACTGGCCAGCCCAACGTCATCTGTCATCACATCCCCTGTGGTGTGCTCCGCGTGTCCACAATGGCCTCCAACGCATCCGCGCTGCCCACATCCTTCCCACACGGCTCCTGCCAGGGCCGTGGCAGACGGCCACGTGGCAGTCCTCAGCAGTCGTGTGTCATGTGAGACCTTTGTTTGCATCTTGTAAATTTTCTCTTTTTCTAAAAATAAATAATAAAACCCTAAATCTCAAGAAACCACTTTCTTACCAAACACATCCTGCTGTGCTTCTGCTGTGTGGTCTGTAGAAATGTGGGGTGTCCGACTCTGCTGCAAGCATAGCCATGTTTCATTTTAGAGAACTCTCTTGCAAGAGGCCATCTGTGCGTGGCCCACAGGCCTGTGATTCTCGGGTGCGAACCTATCTGTAGAAGTTCACACGTCCTGACCTTTTACTTGGAAATGGGATGACAGGAAGGGAACCCAGCTTCAGAATGGCCAGACTATTTCTACTGAGACCAGGTGCGGCTGCCATGCTTGTCATTAGGATAGAAAGAGGCGCCCGTGCTGGCTGTGCACGCACCCTTCTTCCTGAAGCTGCACGCTGTGTGTGCATCCCGGCTAGCAGGCCCGGCATGTGAAGAAGGACCATGTACTCCTGAGGGCGTTTCTCAGGTGAATGTTCATCTGCCAGCAGCACACTGGTAGTGGGCATTTCTGACATTATATATTAAGATATCAACAGAGTTGTCCTCTCTTGAAATGTTTGCCTAACTACACAGGAGATATCTCTGGCATTTCAGTAACACTGATGCTGCCTAACCATGGCCTTTGTAATAATTTGAGTCCCCCTAGGCTGATCCAGCAGTGTACTTCACATGGGAACATTTAGGAAGCTTGAGAACAATCTCAAATATATAACCCCAATGTATACTCAAATACTTGAGATAGCTGAGCATGGTGGCACATGTCTGTAATCCTAGCCCTTTGGGAGGCTGAGGCAGGACAATTGCAAGTTTGAGCCCATCCTGGGCAACTCAGTATCTTAGACCCTATCTCTAAATGAATGAATGAATAAACAGGTCTAGGAGTGTGAAGGTTTTGGATTCAACCTCCAGCACTGTCCTCACCCCCAGAGAAAACAAATACTTGGCATATGGAGTTGGAAGATTTTCCAGATTGCTTTGTCCGAAGCCAATGCAGTTGTCCATTGTTATCGATCATAGTTTGAATCTCCTGGTTTGAAAGCATTGCATCCCAGTGCAGATCTGGGTTGGCTCCCCCAGCCCCAGGGTGCTGGGGCGCAGGACGCTCTCCTAAGTTACCTAAGTAACTCAGGTTCCACAGAATGAATTCAAATTCAGTTTTAAATTACTTGAACCTTTTTGGAGCTGTAGTGTTGGGGCTTGCTGAGCAGATCCTGCTGCTGTGTTTTATCCCCACCAGTTATGCTTACTGAGCAACTGCAGCCTGTCCCTACCATGGGGCGATGGGGACTGCATAGCAATGAGTGCTGCTCCACGCTTGCATGGTAGAGGGAGACCCACATCTCATCGCCCATAACCGTGTTCCTGGATCCCATTTCAAAGGAGTGCAAACCAACTGCAGTATGGGTAGCAGCCTGGGGCCTTGGAAAGAAGAGCTGAGAGAGCTGAGGCTCTTTAGCTTGGGGAGACTATTTCTGAGTAATTAAAAATGTAGAAGAGACAAAGAGAAACAGCAGTAGGAACAGTGGGTGTGAATTGCACCGACTCATTCCACACTGGCTTCTAACGATGCTGGGAGCTCATGGCGCTGGGCAGAACTTTGGCGCCTTCTCTTGTAAAGGGAGATCTTTTCTAATTAATTAGTTTAAAGATCCTCCCTAGAGTATCCAGGGAACATGGCGAGTGTCAGAGAATGCTCACTACTTTAGTGGCCCTGGATTGAAGGAAGCATGTCCATCACCCTGAAGGTCACTTTCAACTTGTAGGGTCACAGACGCACCAGGGAGAACCCCCAAACTGGCTCGAGAGGGTCAGAGGAGACCCCAGGACCCTGGGGTGACAGCAAACACAAGGGGAATTTCCATCCTGCTGTAACCTCCTTTTGCAGGTCATTCTCGATTGTTACCGTGGGACTATGGCTAAAATTAGCGTTCTGCACGCAGAGTATAAAATGTGCCATCTTTACATCCCTCCCAACGTCTCTGGCTCCTGATTCTGCTTATTTATAAAGCTTGCTGTTTATTGTCCAGTAAAACATCATTGGAACAAGGATGGGAGAAGAGAATCCTACCATGTATGGCTTTTCTGAGAAGCCTTGGCTGTGTTTAGGCCCAGCACTTAAAAGAGAGTGCTGTGCTGATGACTCTGGAGAGCAGGCTCCGTTTAATCTTGCCTCTCCCGGTTTACTTTATAGGAGACCAGGCTCTGTGGCCACCCAGAACAGAGACCAAATAAAGGCATCTCCTGGGGCCGGACTCCAGGCTGGTGGTCCAGGAGGGCGTCTTCCCTGCAGAGCTAGCCAGGCCATAGATGGGCACCCGCTGGCACACAGGGTGGTGTTTTGCTGATTCCAATGTAAAGAACAAATACTTCCACCAACACCCCGCTTCCTCTGTCTTATTAGTAACTTAAAACCGGAGAGATCATCTTTTCTATCACTAATGGGTCATTTTCTGCCCTTTTTCAGCCAGGCATTTTCAGAATTCTTCATTTGCAATTCATTGCTGATGCGAACGCTTTAAAATAGAGTTGAAGAATCTCAGAACTCATGGAACCTTTGCTTGGCTGTATTAGAAAAGGAGAGTGGGCCTAGTGTGGTGGCACATGCCTGTAATCCCAGCACTCAGGAGGCTGAGGTGGGAGGATTGCTGTGAGTTCGAGACCAGCCTGGGCTACAAAGCAAATTCAAGGCCTGGCTGAACTACATAGCAAGATCCTACCTAAGGAAGAAAAAAAAGAAAGGACAGTGAGGTGATGTTTTTACCCTCTCCTGGGGTCCAGGCAGCAGGGTGTTCAATTTTAGGGGGTCCTGAAAGCCAACCTTAAGTTGGCATTGTGAAATTCCCTATTAGTGATGGTATTTTAGATTTTAAATCTCAATTAATTACCAACTTGTACAATATAGTTACTATTTGTAGGGGCCTTAAAATAACTTGCTTCTGAGTCTTCCCCAAGGATGTGTGAATTCGAGACTTGGTGGAACAGGCAGCAGGAGACTGGAGCAGCCTGACAAGGGGCTGACCTACAACAAGGGACACTGGTAGCCCCCCAGGGGGCAGAGGTGGCCAGGTAACAGCAGGAGGTCAAGGAGGAAGTGACGGGTACAGCTGCCTCAAAGCGTGTGAGAAGCGACATCTGGATAACTGCTGAGAGGTTGGCAGACCTGGGTTTGGGGAGAGAGAGACACAGGGAGGGGCAGGGATAAGCAGGACCTTGGAGGTGAGATGGCGCTAGACCGTGGAGGTGTGGCTGGTCCTGCTAACATCCTTTGGCTTTGTCCTGCCCCCTCCCATCTGCTCCAGGCTGACTGTCCTACTTGTCCAGCAGGTTGTCATCTTAAGAGTGACACTCAAGAACTGGACACAGCTCTCCCAGTGTGGTGTGACCACGGCCCCTTGACAAGGACAGCAGTGTCATGGTCTCAACAGATCACCACGTTGTACAGACGTGGACTGAATCCTGGCCATGCTGTTGAACTGCTGCACGACCTTGGGACAGTTTACTTACGCATCCTTCTGAGCTTCTACTCCCTCACCCGTCCAGTGGGGACATCACCTGCCACGTGGGTCACTCGAGAGCATACCAGGCTCAGCCCAGCACTGGACGGGTGTGTGCCTGGTGTTCGTGGTATGGTTCCCATAGCCTGCAGGCAGCAGACTCCCCAGGTTCACTTCATGTAACCTCTGCCCTTCGTGGTCCTCCTGGTGGGCTTGACACAGTCTATCCTGTTGAACTGTTTCAGTGTGACATTGCTGTCCCTCCTGACGTGTCATCCCTGGACAGCTTTTCTCCATCTTTCAGTCTTGGCTACACACAGCACACGATGGGTTGGTCCGCCATTAGCCGTCTCTTTCAGATCAGTAGCTGCATTAGTTATCTCTTACTCAGCCCACTCTCCTTCCCACAGTGCCCATTCCTGCTGAAATCAAGCCATACTATTTTCACAGCATTTTGGTGATTAATCCAATGATCCTGTCAAAAAATATTAGTACGGCATGAGGCGTTATTTGTGAACTAATCTGGCTTCCAACGATCACTGTGTTCTTTCCCACATGCTCTCAAGCCATCTGTCTGCTCATCTATTCGAGAATGTTCTTGAAGGCCCACATCTAACTGAGCTGCAAGGGGCCTTTTAGGGGACTTATAAAAATATTTTATTTTGTTTTATTTTTTGGAGGGACGTTTTGAATGGAGACCATAACACCCAGAAAAAAATGGGCTTTTCTCTGGGTGTCCTCTCCCTCTTCCAAGCCAAGCACTGACTTAGGCTCTTTTCGAGGTCTGACATTTGACCCAGTCGCCCTGTGCGCCTCCTCTCCCTCTTCACCTAGGCACACACCTTCCCTGAACCGCCTGAGGGTGTCACCAGCATATTCTACAGTGAGTTACAGATCTCACGCCCTCCACCCTGAACACCTCTGTACCTTTCCTAAGAGGAGAGACATCTCCTTGTGTATAACCACCGCACGGCTGTCGGCCTTGAGAAATTTAAAGTGCTTTTCTTTGATTTATTGTCTATATTCTAATTTTGTCAGTTAACACAATAGTGTCTTTGTAAAAGCATTTTTATCCTTTGGACCAGGATCCAGTGAAGAATCCAGCTGCCTTGCTGTTCAGATTGGCCCAGGACCAGATCCCTTCTTGCCCTGAGCGACTGTTTTCTCTTCTGCTGGAGCAGAGGTCACAGTGGACTGTGTGCAAGTCTGCAGTTGCTCAGCACAGTTCTCCGCGTGACAGGTGACAGGGCTCTGTGGGTGTCTAACTGGGCTCCTGCTCTCCATGGGGGTGGGTGATTGTGGCTTTCTATTTGAGGGAATTTAGGTCACTTCTCCCTTTCAAACAGGATACTGACTTTGGGAACAAACCTAAAGGCTTTGCCTGTTCTCGAAAGGCACTTACAGGTAACTGTCTGCTGTCACCATGCTGGCAATGGTGGCGTGTGGGTCAGTGAAATGCATGACGTGCTGTCACAAGGGAGGAGCCGCGACGCTCTGTCATAAGGCACTGTGCCACACATGAAGTAGCACAGTGTTATTTGAAGGTGACGTCAATGAGTACAAAATGTAT